GCTTTGAGGTAACCCAGAGCTTGAACTGATATGGCTTCCAAGGGCCAACTGTTTGCGCCAACCGGAGGCACACAACCATCAAATCAATTGATGGAAGGAGAGACCGGGCCGGGGCTCTGAATCGTATTCCCCTATTTCTACCCCCCTAGATATACCTTATATAGTACCTATGTACCGAAGTAGCCCCTACATTGCCCCATGTTTCCTCTGAGGTCCCTAGACCCTAAGCCCTAAACCCAGAATAATACTCCCTTCATCAAAAACACAACAAGGAGATGGAGACAATGAACATGGAAGAAGGCAAAAGACAGCACACCAAGCTCTTCGCACAGCGGAGTCCGAAACCCTGAACCCCAAGAAGCCCCTACTGGCACGTTGCCACATTTCCCCCTAAGGTCCCTTAGAACCTCGATCAACCCCCATGGTTAGGGCTTAGGGTTTAGGGTTTCGGGTTCACGGCCCAAAGCCGAGCATTCTTGTTTTTGTTTTAGGATCGCCCTTACATGTTCAATCCTCAACTCTGAAACCTCAACCCGAACCCTTGAACCCAAAACCCGAAAACCCCAAACCCCAAATCCGAAACCCGAAACCCCAAACCCCAAACCCCAAACCCCAAACCCTAAACCCTAAACCCTAAACCCTAGCGCAACTCCAGCCTGACCTAGGCCTCTGAGAACTCTGTTTCGAGGAGTCAAGCATCTGCTTTTTTTTTTTTTTATGTTGCCGTTCTCTTTGTCCGCCTTTTCAACCCCAAGTCCCCAAAAGGATTTAGGGGATTTAGAGTTTTAGGGGTTTTAGGGGGTTTTTGGTTGAAGGTTGCGGGATTCATTGTATTTGAGTTTTAATCCTTTGGGGTCGGAGGGTTTGTCACGACTGGTGTTAAACGCTGGGGTTTTGAAGTTGTGACAAGTAGGATCAGGCTAGAGTCCTGGCGAAAGCCGTTACCCTAAACCCTGATCCCTAATCCCTAAACCCTAAACCCTAAACACTAACTTTTCAAACTGCCCTTGAACTGCCCAAGTAGGATCTGCTGAGAGTAAGAACTGCACCCTTCGGAAAGGTAAGTAGACCCTCGTTTGAGGATTCATAGGTGGGCTCCCAGTCACCTGTAGGTAGGGAGCCTAGATGTTTTAGGGGTTTAAGGTTTAAGGTTCGGGTTTAGGGTTTAGGGTTGAGGGTTTAGGGTTTAGGGTTTGGGGTTTAGGGTTTAGGGTTTCGGGTGATTGTTACCCCTTCAAGTCCTCGAGGCTTGGCGCGAAGCGGCTCTTTAGTCAGGTGGCCCGTCCGCACAGCTTTCTCTGCTGAACCGAAACCCTTAGTAGCCTTGGTAGCCCTAAACCCTAAACCCTTAACCCTAAACCGTTTTCCCTTTTTTTGGTTCTGGTTCCCTTATAAAGTAACCAACCAAAAAAGGGTGCATTACAACATGGTTGCTGGGCTACCAAGTTGTAGCTGAGTATCCAGGGATGAAGACTCGTACCCCTAAGGTTGTACCCCTAAAGGGTCCCATACTCCGAATATGGCCCTTACATCCCCTTAAAGATCCTTAAAACGAGGACCCCATAACCCAAGGGTACAACCTTAAGGGTCCAAGGTAGAACTCCTACATAACTTTTTGGGGTATGCATAGTCCTACCAGAATTGAAAGGTGACAACCTTGCTTGGCCCAGGGTACTCAGCAACTAGGAACCTCCCGCAATCCCCCTACACCCTAAACCGTAAACCCTAAGCCCTAAGCCCTAAGCCCCCCTAAGCCCTAAGCCCTCAGCCCTAAACCCTAAACCCTAAACCCTAAGCCCTAAACCTTAAGGAACCCCAGAAGGCCTTTTCACTTGAGCCCCTATAAGCCCTAGCCTCTGAGGGCCTAATCCTGGAAACCAGCAGACCACTTTGCCGGTGAAGCGTTCAGGGTTTGTCGGGGTGTAGGGTTTAGGTATAGGGTTCGGGTTTCGGGTTTCGGTTTTTTTGGGCTTTAGTTGGCATCATTCTTTGGCAATGGGATGCTACCCCGGCGAGCCCAGTACGTGTTACGGGGTCGCTCGGAGGTTCATGGGTTTAGGGATACACGTAGCCTGAATAAGGTTGCAGTTTTCAGGTACCAGACTTATACCCCTAAACCCCAAACCGTAAACCCCCTAAACCCTCAACCCTAATCCCTAAACCCTAAGACCGTGCTTCCAGTGGAGGCATCCGCTAGGGTTGGTTTAGGGTGTATAGGGCTTAGGGCTTAGGGCTTAGGGTTTCGGGCTTTCGACATGCATCTCCCTCAAAACTCAGCCAGCAAAACGCTGAAGTGTCAGGTCCTTGGGTGGGCCCCCAGAGGGGTTTTGGGGAGTTTAGGGGTTTAGGGTTCGGGGTTTAGGGTTTAGGGTTTAGGGTTTAAGGTTTAGGGTTTGGGGTTTAGGGTTTAAGGTTTAGGGCACAGGAGGGGGGGTTCGGGCGAGGTGCAGGGTTTAACCTCAAAGGACTCCGCGTACTTGTAGGTTCATGGGTAGTTGTAAGTAAGGCAATAAGTAGCCTGAATACGGTTATCTCTTCCATACTTGGAACCGTACCTCTACCTAGTCATGAACCTCCAAGTACATGACGAATCCCTAGAAATCCCTCACTGCCCCAAGGGGCAAAGGAGTTGGGTTCAGGAAAGACCTTAAACCCTAAACCTTGAATCCTAGACCCTAAACCCTAAACCCCAAACCCGAAACCCCAAACCCCAAACCCCAAACCCCAAACCCCAAACCCCAAACCCCAAACCCCAAACCCCAAACCCCAAACCCTAGCCCTAAACCCTAAGCCCTAAACCCTGGACTGCGCCACCTAAGCCCCAAACCCGAAGCCCCAAACCCGAAACCCCCCCAAAGCAAAGCCAGGCACCCGAGCGCCCAAGCCTCGCTCCTGACCGCGCTTGCCGAAGGGGAAGGACTGCGATCACGCAAGGCGCTCGAGAGAGTGGAGTAGGGGAAATAGGGGTCAAGGTTTCTAGGGTTCAGGGTTTAGGGTCCAGGGTTTAGGGCTCAGGATTCAGGGTTTGGGCGGGGACCGAGACTTTGTTTAAACCTGGATGTCGAGTACGCTGGGCCAAACAGGTTCACCTTTCATCAAATATGGTAGGAGCATATATACCCCAAAAGATGAAAGGCTACCTACTCAGCTACTAAGTAAAATGGCTACCTTGTGAATCTTTCTGGAAGAGGCGGTGTCGTGAGGTGGGTTCCGAGCTGGCTTTTTTCTGCTGCAGGGTGTATATATATATATACCCCAAAAGATGATTAAAGGCTACCTACTCAGCTACCTACTCAGCTACCTTGTGAATCTTTCTGGAAGAGCTTCCGAGCTGGCTTTTGCTGCTGCAGGGTGGAAAAATCGGGTTGGGGAACTTGGAACCAAAAAAGGGCAAAGGCCAAAGGCTACCCTAAACCCTAAACCCTAAACCCTAAACCCTAAACCCAGGGAACTTTGAACCAAAGAAGGGCAAAGGCCAAAGGCTAGCAAGTGTACTGTAGGGGCCTTGAGAATTAGCAGAAGGCTTTTGGGGGCAATGATAGTACTGTAAGATTCTATAGGGACCATAAGGGAATGGTGTTTGTAATTATTCCGACCTCCCCCTCAGCACACAAACCATTGAACCCTTCACAGCTGATGAGGGTGCCCGAATTCAGCACTGTACCCTAAACCCTAAACCCTAAATCCTTAAGCCTTAAACCCTAAACCCTAAACCCTAAACCCTAAAAACCCTAAACCCTAAACCCTACACCCTGCACTCTGACAGGTCGTGCGCCTTTGGGTGGCCCTGGACCGCGTGGACATGGCCGAGGGACAGGTCGGCGCAGTCTAGATAGGGTTTATATTTCGGGTTCGGGGTTTAGGGTTTAGGGTTCAGGGTTTAGGGTTCAGGGTTTAGGGTTTAGGGTTTAGGGTTGAGGGTTGAGGGTTGAGGGTATATTGAGGGTTGAGGGTATGGGGTTTAGGGTTCGTGGGGGATTGTCAGCTGCATATGACGCGAAGATGAATCCCCATATCTTGCAACGTGCGGCAGCCGGGTGGAGAAGATGTTCCATCACCAGCTGTGTTCATCAAGGTGAAAGATACTTGCGAAAGAACAGTAGAGGAAGAGTCCGTTCAGTCGTGTTGTTAATAAACAGCTTGCTCCAATCCCGGCTCCAGCAGGCTGCTCCAGCAAACTCAGTTCATTGACCGTTCCACATTCCAGTCCCCATCGGCGATGCACCAATGCACAGCTTGACTACTATTTGCTTAAGAGACCGAAAAGTGCAAGATAAGAAGCCCTATATGGCCCTTATATTATAAGGAAGAAGCATTTGAACTGTTGGGGGTTCTCAAGCAACTAGTAGTTGAAGCATGATGCTCAAGACTATACCACATGGTAGCTATGTCTCCAAGGCGTCCCTTGGAGACATCACGACGAACTGGAAAGAGCACCTGGAATGGGTTTAGGGTTAGGGTTTAGGGTTTAGGGTTTGGGGTTTAGAGTTTAGGGTTTAGGGTTTAGGGTTTAGGGTTTAGGGTTTAGGGTTTAGGGTTTAGGGTTTAGGGACACACACACACACACACACTTGCAGCTTTTGTATCCCTGCATAAGGATAGGGCCTTCCACCACAAGCAAGATCAATTTGACATCTCATCCCTGGTTCATGTTTGTCAAAAAACTTGTCGGGCTGCAGGTGCTGAAATTTTCAGATATGTCTCTGAAGCCTTGATTGGCGAGCTTAGACCCTCCTTTCGTTCTATCGTCCTTTTCTGTTTGCTTTTGGCTTTCCCTTCTTGCTGGCCATTGCATGGTTGATCGGGCTCCCTTTTCTTTACAAAGTCTAGAGGCCAAAGCCCAACAGCATGTGGTGCTTTCTCTAAATTAGGGTCCCTTTGTGGGTCCTGAATCTGAGGTGGCCCCCTGATCTATCGGAAACTAAAGAAGGGACTATCATGTTTGAGGACTCACCATGTGTTGTTGCAAAGTAGGTATCCCAACGCAAGCAAGTGCAGACATGTTCCCAGGTAGATGCGTCGGCTAGGGTCTAAAAGCTTATGGCTCACTCTCCCTCAACAGTAGGTCCTAAACCCTAAACCCTAAACCCTAAACCCTAAACCCTAAACCCTAAACCCTAAACCCTAAAGGATGACACTCCTGGATGTAGGAAGCAAGTGCTTACTTCCAGCAGCACCTGCTGCGCGCCCTACCCGAAGATCTCGGCGTTCCTTGGTCTGCTACGAAACCTTTGTATAAGGTATAAAGGCATGGAGTTTAGGGTTTAGGGCTTAGGGTTCTAGGGTTTAGGGATAAGGGTTTGAGGGTTTTGGGGTTCAGGTTTCTAGCTCAGGGCTTAGGGACTTAGGGCTAGATCCAGGTAGGCTTGACATGTGCTAGGCTTTTGTGGCTACGCTGGCGGTGTTGTTGGCTTTGTTTTTGGATTGGCAGGTTTCGGGTTTAGGGTTTAGGGTCTAGGGTTTAGGGCTTGAAGTCCTTATTGCTGTCTGGGCAGGTCCTTGGCTGTGGGTGTACCCATCCTGTATGTGATCAGCACACTCCAGCACATGGCACCTTCACAACCCTAAACCCTAAACCCTAAATCCTAAACCCTAAATGCTGTTGTCGCACGGCCTGAAGAGTAGCTCATTGTTGCAATCGGCAACCACAAAGCTCCTGGTGTTCCCCCTGGCAGTATCTTACTAGGGTTTGAAGGTTACCCGAAACCCTAGAAACCCTAGAAGCCCTAACCCCTAAACCCTAAACCCTGAACCCTAAACCCGAATCCTCCCTGCGGCCGCGCCGGTGCGTGCTAAGGACGACCCGGGCACTGGTGAGGCGGCTGACACAACGAGGCTCCCAGGAAACCCAATACTCTGCGAATGAATAACCGACTTCGAACAACAAAGGAGTGTAACTGTCAGTTAAGGGTTTTGGGGTTTTTGGGTGGGTTCAGGGTGTAGGGTTGCAGGGTTCAAGTACATCAGTTAAGACTTTTGTCTGCATCTGTTGGGGCCTTTTGTTGGGCGAAGTAAGAACAGACTTCAAACAACAAAGGAGTTAAGGTTTTTGCCTGCAACTGTTGGGGCCTTTTTTTGTGCTTCCAGCACTTCAATCATAGACTGCCAGAATCTGAAACCCAGGGTTTAGGGTTTAAGGGTTTAAGGGTTTAGGGTTTAGAGTTTAGGGGTTTAGGGTTGAGGGGGCGCATAGTGTCAGGCAGCGGCCATTGGTGGATCGTGACCTCGGCATGTTCTTCGCGGATGCAGGGACGAACTCAGGGAAACCTAGCCGGGACGAGTGGTAGCCGGAACAAGTGGCTTTTACGAAGAAGTTTAGCTTGGACTTCTATTTGCTTAAGAACCCCAAAAAATCTTCCATATAAGGGGAATATCATATATATATATATATATATCTATACACCTATTTTTTTTTGGGGGGGGGGGTTCTTAAGCAAATAGTAGTTGAGGTCTAAGGTTTCGGGGGCCTGCACAGTCACAAGCTGTCGGCATCTTCCATTGGCTGGTGCATGACTACGCTTAGCTCCAAGACAGCTCTGCAGCATCAGTGTCGTCTCTTGCCACAGCCAAACGGCTTGGAGGAGAACAGTATCGTTTCTACAGCCACGCCGGTTTTCCTCATGGCCAGTCACAAACTCCACCGCCCTGAGCCCTCAGCCCTTTTGACTTTCAAAGCCCCACATCCTGAACTGTTCAAACCAAAGCCCTACCCTTCAAACAAGCTTCTGGTCGCTACCGTCGCCTGCGAGCCTCCATTCAGGTGTTTGAAGTTTGGCAGAAATTAGGATGCCATGGGTGCCGCAGCGCCCAAGTGTCGTCTTTGCCAACACGGAGGCGATGAGGAGAGAGCTGCGCAGCGGCACATCAGTTCCCCAGAGCCCAACACCCCTTGGATCCTTATCGGCGTTGTGCCTTGTGATGAGTTCTGTTTTCCCTTCTAGACCCTAAACCCTAAACCCTAAACTCCAAAACCCTCAACCCCATATGGGACTGCTGTCTCCAGGAAGTCCAACCCACAGGGCTCCATTCTCTAGGAAATCGCCTCCCAGAAATGAACAGGGTTTAGGGTTTAGGGTTTAGGGTTTAGGGTTTAGGGTTTAGGGTTTAGGGTTTAGGGTTTAGGGTTGCTCTCTGGGAAGTGCATCTGAGTAGCTTTGTGCTGCCTCATGACACGTACCAAGACTTGTGCGCAGCACCAGCCCGGGGAAAACCCACACGAATGTGGGAGCCTATTCATACATAATTTTCAAGCTGTTTAAAGCACAACTCATTAACTGTGAATGAGGGGTATGTTCCTTACTTGCAGGGTATTGGGCTCCATGTGTGCCGTTCGTAGGGAACCTTCGGGTTCCTCTAACCGAAAACTCTATCAGAGACCCTGCAACCCTTGAAGTCCTGAAATCTTGAGGACCTGCTTGGAGGTTCCTGGGTGGTCATAGTGGGATTCATGCTTATTATTGTAAGTAACAACTTATAACCCTATTCAGCGTACTTACAGCCTTACTTACCCGAAGAGCCCAATACCCTTTAATTAAGGAATACACCGTAAAACATGTTAAGGATCCCAAAAGAATCCAAGGCATCTTTCTTCATTGAGGGCTATTGGGCTCTTTGGGTAGAACTACTACCATGAACCTCCAAGTGGGGTTTACGGTTTAGGGATTTTGGGGTTTAGGGTTTAGGGCTTGGGGCTTAGGGCTTGTCAGCCCCCCGACTCAGAATCCTCAATATGGAGCACTCTTGAGCAGGGAAGATGCTGGTGGGGGTAGCCCAAACCCTGGCGGCAGCGGCCGGGATAAAGTTTAGGGTTTAGGGTTTGGGGTTTAGGGTTTAGGGTTTAGACAACCTAACCCCAAACCCTAACCTCGAATCTTCGACCCGACCACAAAGCTGCCCGAGCCCAAGGCGGGAGGGCTGCTCGATCTTCCAGGCTCCCAGACCCACCCGAATTAAGGATTCAATTTGGTTTTAGGGTTTAGGGTTTAGGGTTTAGGGTTTAGGGTTTAGGGATTGTTGTTGAAGAGCGAGTATCTTTTCAGATTTGCAGACAAGTGCTAAAGAGCCACGGGCAGTGACTTCTCCATTTCCCACATGCTGTGCGCCATGAAGCGCGGAATCCCCTAAACCCGAGATAGAAACACTGGACCATGCGCAATTACCAACACCATCTAATGGAAATGAAATTGCCCACCCAGTTTCCGTTTAAAAAAAGAAACTAAAAACACCGACAAAATAAAATCATATATATATATATATATATATATAAGGATACCTCTAGTAGGCGCCTCGTAGCTCCACACCTCGCTTCTGCCTTGAGGTGGCGGATATGGTGAGTTCTGTATGTATGGTGTTTTGAGGGCTCCGGTTGTCATATTTGGGTTATGGCGATCATGTCTTACTCTGAGAGAGCGAATGTGAGAGCAAAGGAGAGAGCGAGAGCAAAACGGAGAGAGAGGACAGGGACAAAGATAAAGATATGTGTAAGGTTCTAAGGGGCACGGTTTGCCTGACCACTTCAGCCCGCCTTCAGCCCGCGTGCCATGACTTGGGGCACAGGAGGGGTAACTGCATCCCACACAAGAGCGTTCCAACATTCCCCGAGTTTCGCAGGAATGCGGGCCGGGGGGGGAGGGGTGGGGGGGGGGGGGGGTATTTAGTCTCATGGGCAGCGTTCAATGTCCTGCACCCCATACCCTTAAACCTTGAGCCCCCGGATGCTAAATCCCTGCAGCAGAGTAACCTTTTCTGCCTTTTAAGCATGTTGTGAGGGAAGTCAGACCCATTCATTAAGGCAGCATCTCTTCATTGGGGTAGAGAGGTTTAGGGTTTAGGGTTTAGGGTTACTCTAGCAACATCATCAACACCTGCAGGTGTGCAGGTGATGCCTGATCAAGACATAACACCGACCTACGCAACCAGTGCCCCAGCCGGCACATGGGGTTGAGGGTTTAGGGTTTAGGGTTTAGGGCTCACAATCTATTCTTCCGAATCAAAGAAAAGGGTACCAGAGAAGGCCGATGATTTAGGTCAACCTCCACATGAGACCACTAAACCCTAAACCCTAAGCCCTAAACCACATGAGCTGTTGTCGGAACATCCTTAGAAGCTGGTGCCCCATGATTCTCATTTTTGCTGGGTTCTGTATGCTGTCTTGGGGGCTTATTGTGTAGGGTGCCGGAAGATCCAAGCCCTGGACCCCTAGTGTGATATGGCCGCAGCACTACCTACTATCGAATGTTTCTTTCATTCCAGGGGCACTGAACTCGTGAGCTGCAGGGTTCAGGAGACCCCATAGGCATCAATGTGTATTCAAAAGCCGCCCAAGGCAACGTTCAACATCGTGTTTTTATTAAGTTTCTGAGGGGAGTATAGGTTTGGTTTGTGAGCTTCGGATTTAGTTCTTCGGGGGTTTAGAGATTGTGCAGCGCAACGGGTTTGGTTTCATTTAGGGTTGGTTGGGTATGTTTTTTTTTGTGGTTTAGGGTTTAGGGTTTAGGGTTTAGGGTTGAAGGCTTTATAGGGTTTGGGGTTCAGGGCTTCTGTGGCGCTTCTAGGGCCTAATCAAGGTGTACCGAGAGGTATCCTCCGACCCTAAACCCTAAACCCTAAACCCTAAACTTAACCCCTAAACCCTAAACCCTAAACCCTAAGCCCTACAAAGCCCAAACCCTAAACCCTGAACCTAAGTTGCTTGGTATCTTTGCCGTTTTTTCGATGCGGGTGCACAGGAGACTCTTGGGAGGGTCGTGGGAGCCTTGCGCTGTTGGGTCTGCCCAGAGTATCATGGGTTCCCCTACTACCCCCCTCTTTTGGACCTAAACCCTGAACCCCAAACCCTTCTTTTGGGTGAACTAAGGCGATGCCTCTGAGCCTGGCTCCCCGAGCTCACCGCTCTCTCCGCGCTCTTCGATTGGACGGTCGCGGAAAGCGTCGTCGGCCGCAGGCGACGGAGGAGGGTTGGGGTTTAGGGTTTACGGTTTAGGGTTAGGGTTTACAGGGTTTAGGGTTTAGGGTTTAGGGTTTAGGGTTTGGTTCAGGGTTTAGGGTTTAGGAGGCTCAGGGTTTATAGGGTTGAACCCAAAAGTACCGCGTTCAGGGTTTACGGTTTAGGGAACCAAAAGTAACAGGCTAAGCCCCACACCCTTTCGACCTTTCAAGTGGCGGCCATGCCTGAGCCGGATGCGCAAGCATCCCGAGTCCAGGTCAGAAGCGCACACTTCTTCTTCTTCTTCTTCTTCTTCTTCTTCTTCTTCTTCTTCTTCTTTATATATGTATATATATATATATCTATTTATTTATTTATCTATGTATCTCGTTTTCTATATTTAGTCTTTTTTTACTTATTATTGCTTTGTTCTTATATGATTATTACAATTATTTTTTGAAATAGTTATTAACTATGATTATTGTGTAATATGGTCACTGGGCTACCAAGTACAGCGGATCGTCGAATCGCGCAGCTCCCCTTTTTGGTGGACCAGGGCAGTGGAAAGGCCAGCACAAAACGCGTTGCTCTGGCAGGGTACTACCAGGATGGGCTATTAGGCCCTATAAGCCCCGTAGTCAACCCTCTCAAGGGACTTTTTAAGGGGTTATAGGGTAGAATAGCCCATCCTGGTACTACTACAGGGGCAGACCGCATCGCGAAAATAAACCTCATCGACACAACCTGTGCTGCAGCAAAACGCACGGCTGGAGGTCCGAAGAATGGCTTCAAGTTCAGGTACGGGCCAATGAGCAAGGTCCAGTGCTTAGGAATCTTGAGCAGATGCACTGAACATAAAAGACCTCAGGCCTAAACCCTAGTCCAGGCCTGTATTTGTTCAAACCCAACCCAGATTGGCTTCGCAAAGGGCCACTGACCAACAGAAGGGACGAGGGCCAAAAGTTTGGCCCCCCAAGCCCTAAACCCTAAACCCTAAACCCGATAGTGAAAGCCCCCAAACTCTGAGCTGAAGGCTCTAGCATATCAGGATCCTAAACCCGCAACACCCCACTTAGTTGCTGAGTGGGTAACCTTCAACCTTTTTTGGGGGGTTTAGGGTTTAGGGTTTAGGGTGTATACGGTATGTGATATTTAATCCACCATTGTTGAAAGGATGACCTTTGTGGCCCAGGGTGCTGCAGCAACTAGGCCCAGACTCTCGAACCTTGTTTCCCCCAACCAGCCCAATGCCGCTTTAGGGTTTCTGGGTTTAGGAGGGTTTAGGGTTTAGGGTTTAAGGCTAGGTTTTCCTCCAACTTATCTTTAGCACCTTCACAAGACTTGAAGTGTTCCTTCTCTTACCCACCCGGTAGGCTTAGAGTCTTACCGTAAACCCTAATGTTGCACCCTGTTTAGTATTGGCCTCCTCTTTAAAGACAAACTGGCCGAATTATTCAGGACATGCTGACTGTTTGGGAGTCCCTCTTTAAAGACAAATCGTCCGGGCGCCGTAAGAAAATTCCACGCGGCGCGCCTTTAAAAAAGATAACCGGGCATCGCTGCCCCTTTTGAACCTATCTAAACTCCTCCCTATTGAAATCATATGAGCCCCCGGGGCCGTGTAATCAAGATCCCATCCACGCCTCAACTGTTCAGGGGGGGGGGGGGGGGGGGCCCCCCACACTAAACAGGGTGCAACATTAATTTTAAAGTCTACACTCCTGAACTCGACACCCGAAGCTCTCAACCCCATGCCCTACGACCTTCAGCGCTACAGCCTCCGTACTATATACACCATGCATATAGGGACAATCACCCTAAAACCCCCAAACCCTAATATACTTTAAATATTTGGCCCAACTCCCTTTAAAGCTTCTCTAGATGAGCCCTGTATACTTTCAGCCCCTGTAACCCCGAAGCCCTAGATCCTAAGCCCTGAATCAGGCGCAGAGACAGACCAAGAGATGTGGTCCGGCGCCGAAGATGATGTCGACCAGGCCGTCCGCGCTGAGTGTTTCGTTAGTAGGGTTTAGGCTGAACCCCTGCCCCCCTATCCCTCCTTGGGCTTAGGGTGAATCCCTAAACCCGAAGCCTTCTAGGGTTTAGGCCCTAAACCCTAGAAGGCTTCGGGTTTAGGGATTCACCCTAAGCCCTGAAGTTTAGGGTTCAGCCTCTAGGAAGGTCCGTGGCTTCTGGACCATGGTGCTGGGGTTTAGGGTTTGGGGTTTACACCCTCCAGGCCGAAAGCCCAACTTGTTGCTTCATGGGTAGTTAGAGGTTTAGGGTTTAGGGTTTAGGCTTTAGGGTTTAGGGTTTAGGGTTTAGGGTTTAGGGTGTCACAAGTACCGTACATAGGGTTCGAAGTATAGTTGCCAAAATTCTAACTACCGATGAACCTCCAGAGTACAGGCCCTGCATGGAGTAGTCGATGCGCCCTGAAGGAAAAGAGTGTAGGCTGGACTTTCTGCTTGCGGGGTGTCAGTGCGTGAGATGAACGCGACAGACTTTTACCCAAAATCTATATTCTTTGGGATGTTCCCCCTTGGACTCACAGTCCCTAATCGGGATTATAATAGTGTTTAGGGTTTAAGGTTTAGGGTTTAGGGTTTAGGGTTTAGGGTTTAGGGTTTAGGGTTTAGGGGAGGAATTATACCAGGGGGGGGGGGTACTATACGCCTTATGAAGGACTGTCAGTATCAGTGTATCTGGGGCAACATCCCAACCCGTTCTTATTAAACCAGCCTTCACGTTGCCCATCGCTGTGCCGCTGTGAGGACGACTTCGACTGGAAGAAGTTTGTGCCACCCCCTCAGAGAGAAGTGGGGGGTTTACCCTAAACCCTAAACCCGAACCCTAAACCCCAAACCCGAAACCCTAAACCCCAAACCCCAAACCCGAAACCCTAAACCCCAAACCCCAAACCCTAAACCCTAAACCCCAAATAGTAGGCGCAACCCCCAAGTCGCTCCCCAGGTTCAGGCTTCAGGGTTCAGGGTTCAGGGTTTAGGGTTTAGGGTTTAGGGTTTAGGGTTTAGGGTTTAGAGGTCCTACTCTCCCCCGAAAAGCAAAAGAAGACTGTTGACCGGCAACAGATGTATGTGTTGTGGGGCCTAGCCCTAAACCCTAAGCCCTAAAACCCTAAACCCTAAAACCCTAAACACTAAACCCTTAATCCTAATCGCGCCTCAGCCCCCTACGTCCAAGCACCCGTGAGCGTTCAAGCCGGGCAGTTGCAGCCCAACCCAGAGACTCCAAAACCCCTTACTTAAGGAATATACCTTAAATTATAATAGGAACCCTAACCGCGCGGCGCGCGCTTGAGCCTAGGCACTTACCGAGCTTCTCCCAGTTGTCGCAAATTAAAACCACCTGAAAATGTGTGTGCCCCTTAAATTATAATAGGAACCCTAATATGATTTAAGGTATATTCCTTAATTAAGGGTTTTTTGGAGTCTCTGGGTAACCCGTCCTGGGTTTTCGAGTGGACGTCAGAGACTTGCACGTGGGTTTCTTTGGGTTTAGGGTTTTAGGGTTTTGGGGTTTTGGGGTTTTAGGGTTTTAGGCTTTTAGGGGTTTAGAGTTTTTGTGTTTTAGGGTTTTAGGGTTTTAGGGGTTTAGGGTTTTAGGGTTTAGGGTTTTAGGGTTTAGGGTTTTAGGGTTTAGGGTTTTAGGGTTTTAGGGTTTTAGGGTTTTAGGGTATTAGGGTTTTAGGGCTTTAGGGTTTTAGGGGTTTAGGGGTTTAGGGTTTTAGGGTTTAGGGTTTAGGGTATGCATGCCAAAGCAAAGAAGCGAATCGGGCCGAACATGTCCCTGAAAGTAGGGGGAATTGGAAGCAACCCTACCCCTAAATCCTAAACCCTAGGAGCTTGTGAAGTAAATGCTGGGCTGTGGGAAGCTGCGCAGAGAAGCTCGTTTTCAAGAAGCTGATTGAGAAGAAGTGGCCATGTAGCTGGGTTCAGCCGGTTTAGGGTTTAGGGTTTAGGGTTTAGGGTTTAGGGTTTAGGGAGGGCTCAGGGTTTCCTCAACCCAGTTCCCCAATCACCCAGAACCCTATGAGCACTCTAAACCCTAGAAAGTATCCCACCCTAGCCGCTCTAAGCTGTGTATAAACTCTACCTTGAGAACCCAATCCCTACAAAACCCCCTTCTTGAATTCTTAGGCAGCCTGCAAAACAGGTAGGTTCTCCGTTCCTGTTCCTAAACCCTAGACCCCTAAACCGCTAAACCCCTTAAACCCCTTAAACTCCTAAACCCTAAACCCCTAGCCCCCCCCCCCCCCCCCCCTAACACCTAAACCCCTAAGCCCTATAAACCCTACACCCTAAACCCTACACCCTAAACCCTACGCCCTAAACCCTACGCCCTAAGCCCTAAGCCCTAAGCCCTACAAGGTAAAAGAACAAGCTGACCCAAAGGGTCCATTTGTATTGCTATTCTGGAATTAGATACCCGACAACCATACTAAAGAGGGTTTTGGGGTACCCAAATAGTACTACAAAAGCCCGCAACCCTAAACCCTAAACCCTAAGCCTAAACCCTAAACCCTAAGCCCTAGACCCCAAACCCCAAACCCCAAACCCCAATCCCTAAACCCTAAACCCTAAACCCTAAACCCTAAACCCTAAACCCTAAACCCTAAACCCTAAACCCTACAAGGCAAAAGAACAAGCTGTGAGGTCGCCAATGCTTGGGATCAAGGCGAACGACGCCGAGCTGCAGGAGATCTCGGCGCGGGTGGGAGGCCGGGAGTCGCTCCAAGGGGGCTCAGTTTCTTGGGTTTTTGTTGGTGTTCCTAAACCCTAAACCCTACACCCTAAACTTGAACCCTACATCCTAAACCCTAAACCCTAAACACCCCCCCCCCCAAAAAAAAAAGTCAATAAGAAACCTTAAGTCTCCTGAGGTGTACAGGGGGTCGGCTTCCGGGTTCTATGTTTTTGCCGGCTTTGATGGGGGTTTATATAGGACCTTCGGGTTTAAATCTGATCCCTTGCGATGTTCCCCCCATCTTATACTAACAGTCCTTAACAGGGACTAGGGTGTAGGGTTTAGGGTTTAGGGGTACTATAATCCCTATCAAGGACGGTTAGTATCAGGGGGGAAGATCCCAAATGATCCCAGTCATAAGGGGCTGGTTTTGCTCAGGAGCGGCCCGAACAAGTTTCAGAAACCCCCTGAATTTGTAGTGAACCCCGAGACCATTGCCTCAGGCCCAACCTGTCAATGACAATCAAACCTCTAGTCCCGCAACACCTATATGCATTCTCCGCGTAAGAATCCTACACCCTAGACCCTTGACCCTCCATGGGGACGTACGAAAACAAGGGGCCCTTATTATAGGCCCCCCCCCCCCCAACTAGCAGGATTCCCTGGAAATTAGAGACCCCCAGGAAGGTTCCCCTCGTTTCGGACACACCCCCGTAGAGACCCTCAGCCTCGCCTTATACTAACTGTCCTTAATAAAGATTAAACCCTAAACCCTAAACCCTCAACCCTAAACCCCAACCCCCCCCCCATATTAGAATCCTGATTCAGGGCTGTTAGAATAAGGGGGGAACATCCCAACCTAAGCCTCTGGATGCCCTCAACCCTAAACCCTAAACCCTAAACCATAAACCCTAAACCCTAAACCCTAAACCCTAAACCCTAAGCCCTAAACCCTAAACCCTAAACCCTAAACCCTAAACCCTAAACCCTAAACCCTAAACCCTAAACCCTAAACCCTCACTCCTGTGGAGTGCCCTTCGTGAAGGCGACTTCGAGGTGCTCCGTGACATCGAGCAAGAGGCACCGTGGCCTTGGGAATGCTGCGGGGTCGTTTAGGGTTTAGGGTTTAGGGTTTAGGGTTTAGGGTTTAGGGTTTAGGGTTTAGGGGTTTCGGGTAGTTGTTTTTGTTTCTTTTTCCGAGGGAGGGTCCTGGGCTGCTGGGTCAGACGGTCTAGCTCCGGGCGGGTGGTCGACTTCAGGGGTGCGAGAGCCGTCGTGACCAGCAAGCTGTAAGGGTTTGAGAAGTACCCTGAACCCCAAACCCTAAACCCCAAAACCCCAAAACCCCAAACCCTAAACCCCAAACCCTAAACCCTAAACCCCAAAACCCCAAAACCCCAAAACCCTAAACCCTAAACCCTAAACCCTAAACCCTAAACCCTAACTAGAATTCACGTCCTGAAGAGCCCCAGGATGAGCTCGAACCCGTAGCATGAAGTCTCTTTGCACCTTCCGAGGGGCCGGGGGGGGGGGGGGGTTAGGGTCTAGGGTTTAGGGTTTAGGGTTTGGGGTTTGGGGTTTGGGGTTTGGGGTTTGGGGGTTGGAGGAATGACAACGTGGGCCGAGGCGAAAGGCGTGCATAGAGGAAGGCCTTGCATCCCCAAGAGTACCGGCCTTGAAGGTACAACCCCGAAATTTCCCCAGACATCTAGGGTTTAGGGTTTAGGGTTTAGGGTTTAGGGTTTAGGGACATCTATAAGAAGCCCGGAACCCCAAGCTACAGCTTGAGCTGTCTGGGGCGCCGTTCAGGGGAAACCCTGAACCCTAAACCCTAAACCCAAATACTGGGTCTTGGAGTACTATACTTTAATACTTTTTGTTGGTCTTGGGCTCCTATGATACCTAATCATACCTGAAAAGTATATACTGTTTTCCAGGGTCTACTCCAAAGCTGTCTTACCCAAAACCCGAAAGCTCTGGCTGGGTGCGACATTGGTTGAGCAGATGCCAGCCGAAACATTGGGCGCAAGCCCACGCGTGCAATGTTGCAGGATGCTCGCGAGCGTGTGCCCTCCAAGGCCTACTAAGAAATTGAACCCTAAACCCACTGCCCTGAAGCAGCAGAGTAACTGTCTTCTGACCACAGATGGGCAAATTATTCTAAGCCCTGCTTAAGTCTTATGACTACACCCCAACCCTCAACCGGTTTAGGGTTTAGGGTTCAGGTTTTGGGTTTAGGGTTTGAGGTTTGCGGTTTAAAGGGCTCAACTCCACCCAGTTTTCGAGGAGTTGAACCGAGAAGAACTTCGCGTCGAGCGCGTCTCAAAGGTCGTCAATCCGGTGCCTGCCGCAGCTTGCTTGCAAGACCCTGCACTGCCCCTGATATATATATATATATATATAGGTGTTTAGGGTTTAGGGTGCAGGGTTTAGGGTTTAGGGTTTATGGTTTAGGGTTCAGGGTTTTAGGGTTTAGGGTTCGGTACTTATGTTGCATACTTGCGCAGACCTACAGGGTAGGCATACATACGTCTGTGACTTAGCTTCAGACCCTAAACCCTAAACCCTCGTCGATAGTCCCAGGCTGCTTCTGTAGTTCAAGTGTAGTTCCTCATTTGGACACCCTCTGTAAGTGTGTTTTTGCCAAGGGACCAAGTAGGGCAGAGCGTTCAAGGTTCGAGTTACGGGTCTAAGGGTTGAGGGTTTGGCAGTGTAGGGTTTAAGGATTGAACATGTCGGGGCTGATCTTCGGTAGGAGCCTGTTAATTTAGGTTGCCCTTAAGTAGTTGGGTGGGGCCCTAAACCCTAAACCCTAAACTTGCAGCCCTAAACCCTAAGCCCTAGACCCTAAACGCTAAACCCTGAACTTGCAGCCCTAAACCCTAAACCCTAAACCCTAGGAGCCTGGGCTGTCAGCATGTTTCTCGAGGGTTGCTCAGCAGTGCCAGTGCTGATGTCCACCCTCGCGACTTCCCAGAGACTCCAAAACCCCTTAATTAAGGAATATACCTTAAATCATAATAGGATCCCTAATATTATTTAAGGTATATTCCTTAATTAAGGGGTTTTGGAGTCTCTGGGTTCCGGGGGTCCAGAGAGGAGGCCTCAAAAATCCACTCGATCATTTCTTTCGAGTGCTCTCCTATCCTGTGGGCTTGAAGATTTCGGGTTTAGGGTTTAGGGTTTAGGGTTTAGGGTTTAGGGTTTAGGGTGCCGCCTTGCGGGTTTTGGGGTTCAGGTCTGACTACACTCTGCAGCCGAGAACCCTACATACAAATCCTAAACCCCATAACCCCAAAACCCTAAATGCCCTCAACCCCCACAGCCTCAAAACGTCTGCCGGCCTCCTTCTCAAACTGAGAAGCGCATCGATACCGAGCGGATGGTGCGCGCAAGCATCCGACACATGCAGGACGCGTAGTAGTGCTTGGTGTTTAGGGCTCAATGATTCAGGGCCTTATCTAGACTCAGGGGTTCAGGGTTCAGGGCTTATACATGGTTTAACCTTGTTCAAACATGTACGCTCTATGGGTTCTTGGGCTATTTCGGCCAGCTGTTCGCTTCAAGGGCTTGCAGGTTTCAGGTTTCAGACTTGAGGGCGTGCGGAATTGTGACGTGAAGCCAAATGCCCACAACTTCAATTCCTGAACCTGAGCCGGGGCGGGCTTCTTGAAAGGGCTTCTTTCACCTTCCGGTCGTCCGCTGTCAACGGAAATATCCTATATTGTGGACAAGTGGCGGGGTGTCTGCGAGTGCTCCAGGTGTTCACACTTCGAGATGGGGTATTTAGGGCGTATAGGGTTTACCAGAAGTGAGGCTCCTCTTCTTCTTACTCCCAGATAGCGTAAAATCCCTCGCGACAGGGCCTAGGACACTATTTTTCGGAAACTAGCCGCACTTTCAACACCTGATCTTCAAGAGAGATTGGGGTTGATCTAAACTTTTCCAAGCTGCTTTTGGTGTTGAATTCAGGGTTTAGGGTTAGGGTTTAGGGTCCAAGGGTTGAGGGTTTAGCGTTTAGGGTTTAGGGTCCAGGGTCCGTTTGAGAAAGGACGCTCGTGGATTCACCACAGAGGCGCTGGCTGAGGAGGTTGCCAAGCTCCAATGTGCAGAAGCTCAGGCGCGTTCAGGGGCTCCCGGGTTTCAGGGTTTAGGGTTTAGGGTTTCGGGTTAGGGTTTAGGGTTTAGGGTTTAGGGTTTAGGGTTTAGGGTTTAGGGTTTAGGGTTTAGGGTTTAGGGTTTAGGGTTTAGGGTTTAGGGTTTAGGGTTTAGGGTTTAGGGTTTAGGGTTTAGGGTTTAGTGTTTAGGTTTTAGGGTTTAGGGTTTAGGGTTTAGGGTTTAGGGTTTAGGGTTTAGGGTTTAGGGTTTAGGGTTTAGGGTTTAGGGTTTAGGGTTTAGGGTTTAGGGTTTAGGGTTTAGGGTTTAGGGTTTAGGGTCAGGGTTTAGAGCGTTCTGGCTTCTTGCTTCTTTTTAGATTCACACCCTGGCCGTTCACCCCTTGCATGTGGGAGGATCCTGAACGGATCCTAGGAATGACCCAATAGAAGTGTAGAGTGTTATTTGGGGGGCTCCATTTTTTGGATCCTGCCAGTTGCAGTGTTGCCACCTGAAGCTGGCGTACAGTTCTCCATGATGCTAGGCTCATCCGAGTAGGGTTTAGGGTTTAGGGTTTCGGGTTTAGGGTTTAGGGTTTAGGGATTCTGAACCTCCCCACTTCGGCTGCTTCTAGTCTTCTAGACCCTGCTAGCGCTCCAGCCTCTAGCCCTCGATGTGTGGTAGGGCCCATAAGGTTTGAATTCTGGGTTTAGGGTTTAGGGTTTAGGGTTTTGAGTTCTGGTGCCCCAGCTCTCCCTCAGAGGACGGCGACAAAAATGACGATGGCAACGAAGCGACAGCAGCCTACAACACCAAGCTGAACAAGCACATCTCCCGCGCCATCGTACCCTGCCTGCATGCTGCCACTGTCACTGTCATCGGGGATGGAGATCCGCAGCAGGGGTAAGCACCCTAAACCCTAAACCCTACGCCTCCCCCCCCCAGCCCTGAACCCTAAACCTTTAAACCCAAAACTCTATAAACCCCAAAGGCTTAGACAAGCTAGCCAAGGCCCATGATCACGGTGAGATCGTCGAGCCCGAGAACAGCGCCCCACTGACAGCCCTCCTGCCTGGTTTAGGGTTTAGGGTTTAGGATTAAGGCCTGAGGGATCATGTCTTCACTCCTCTGAACAGGGGAGGGGGGGGGGGGGTTCGTCATTTCAGAAGCTGCAAGGTAAAAAATGTAAGGTCATGGTAACCTAGACAATCAACCTGACTCGGGTACCTATTGCCCTGTCTTGAGGGGTCTAGTCTTGGGTTTAAGGGGTAGAGGTTAGGGTTTTAGGGTGTAGGGTTTAGGGTTTAAGGGGGACTCAGCAACTTCAGTTGAGGACCCCAAACCACCAAACATCAAACCCCCAATCCCAAATCTAAAGAATAGGTTTAGGGCTGAGGGCTTGCGGTGTAGCAAGCCTACCGCGAAGCGGCTCAGTCTCGAACGCCTCAACATTCGTTTTGGTACCTACTCCTCACTTACCAAATCTTCCTAAGCAGAAGATCAGGTACCGAAAGAACGGATCGAAAGCTGGCGTCTGAAACTTGAACTACGTACTTCGTTTAGGCTTATGTAGGGCGCTTGCCTAGAGCATAAGCTGTAGAGTGTCTAAGACGGAAGTTTGCCCAACAGCTAAGGCATTTCCAGTTTGGACTGGGTACATACTACCATTTGCTTGAGAACCCCAGAAGAATAAGAAATAATCCCTAGATTACCCGTAATGAGGAAGAATTTTTTTTGGGCGGTTCTTAAGCAATTAGTAGTATAGGCTCCTCTTTCACGCATACATGCCCAGGCAATCATGGCATCGGAGGATGGTTGCCTTTTCACCAACACACGCCTCTGCTCTGAACCCTGAAAAGCCATACCCGAAACCCTAAACCCTAAACCCTAAACCCTAAACCCTAAACCCTAAACCCTAAACCCTAAACCCCTAAACCCCTAAACCCCTAAACCCCTAAACCCCTAAATGCTAAGCACAAACCCTGAACCCACACACCCTACAAACCTGCGAGGCCTGCTTCAGGAAGGACTTGCGCAGGTCGGCGTCCACCCTGAGTGTAGCTTGAATGCAGCCCAATACCTCTTAGGGTTTGGAGGTTTAGGGTTTGGCTTTAGGGTTTTGGGTTTTGGGTTTTGGGTTTTGGGTTTTGGGTTTTGGGTTTTGGGTTTTGGGTAGAGATCCGTTGACATGTGGTCAGCTACTGCACATGATCGTCCTTTTTGGGGACATGTACCCCTTGTGTTCGGGGTATACCCTAACGTAGGAGCACCATTGTAGAGAACCGACCCTGTGGGTGTAGCATTCAGGATTCACGCTGAGTAGCTGAGTAGGCAGCCCTTAACCTTTTGGGGCGCATAGAATCCTACCATAATTGAAGCTGAACCTTTTCTAGCCCGGGGTACTCAGCAACCCTCAACCCTAAACATCCCCAAACCCTGAACCCTAAACCCTAAACCCTAAACCCTAAACCCTAAACCCTAAAGAGTTTGGGGATCGGTTTTTCTGAGTTAAGGGTACACGGTAGTTTCATCGGCCTTCATGGCTCACTTCCGTATAGGGTTTGGGGACATAAGGGGGCCTCAGCTAGCAGGGTTTAGGGTTTAGGGTTTAGGGTTTAGGGTTTAGGGTTTAGGGTTTAGGGTTTAGGGTTTAGGGTTTAGGGCTTGTTTGAAGCAGGGTTGGCTTTCGAACGGAGTTTGCTTGACTCCATGGCTTCATTCGATGCTTTTGTAGCCCTTAATTAAGCCTAAACCTAAACCCCTTTCACCTTATAGCTTGGTGGTGCTTTTCTGTAACTTTTGATCGTTAGCCTTTTCGGGTTTATTGGGTTTCTTTGTATGGCAGGTAAAAGTATATTTTTTTTACTACCCTCCTAAGTGCAGCCAAGATAGAAGCTCCTTAAGGGAGGGGGGGTTCTTCCTCAGTGACTCACAAACACTTGCTTTAGAACCGTCTCAGGAGCAACTTGTCTTAAACTTTTTAGGGAGGGGGGTTCATGGGGGGGGGGGGGGGTAGGTACCTAGGGAACCCCAGGGAAGCTTAAATAAGGGGACCTTGGGTTACATAGCCCCCCCTTGAACCCCCCGTCCCTTAAGGACCCTATAAACCTTGCAATTTAGGGTTTAGGGTTTAGGGTTATTTAGGGTTTAGGGTTTAGGGTCTAGGGTTTAGGGTTTAGGGTTTAGGGGATGTTCCCCCTTACACTCCCTTACTCTGTTTGGGGGCTTGCTTGGAGGTTCATGGGCAGCTATAAGTCAGGTTCTAAGCACCCTAAATGAGGTTATAAGTGTAGTTAGTTACCATGCTTTGGGATGCTCCCCCGTATACTAACAGCCCTGAATAGGGATTCCAAAAGGGGGGTACTACAATCCCTATGAAGGACTGTTAGTATAAGGCGCCCTAAATCCTAAACCCTATACCCTAAACGTTAAACCCAAGGACTGTTAGTATAAGGCGGAACATCCCAGCAATGAACCCTGTTCACCCATCCTGCGTTCCGGGACCACAAGTCCCAGGTTTGCCTTACGCTCACACCCTAAACCCTAAACCCCAAACCCTAAACCCTATGTAAACCCTAAACCCTCAACCTTATTTTTTTGGGCCCCACGACCGTTCGGTGCTGTGCATCGCGCTGCCCCGCTCAGTTGATGTCCACGATGGGCCGAGATATTTCAGAAGCTTGCCTGCAGTATAGAGTCTAGGACCGGGGGTAGGCCTCTTTTTCTTTTTTTTAGGGTTGGCGTTCCCTTACAATCCCCTTAAACCCAAAAAGGGTACCCTTTTAGTCCTTATTCCCGGGTCTAGGAGTTTAGGGGTTTAGGGTTTAGGGGTTGCGAGAATCGGTGCCTGACTGCGCCATAAACCCTAAACCTTCCTTATGACATCCCAGACATGCCTCGTCTAACATTCGTTGTGTAGAATTCGGTGTTTTGTTTAAGTGTTTAGGGTGCAAACCATCCCTAGGACCCAGAGGAGGCCTATCCCCTTTAGTTTGGGGTTGAGGTTCCCAGAGAAGCCCCTGTAAACCAAAAAGGGCACCCTTTGAAACCTAAACCCTAAACCCTAAAGGGCACCCTTTGTATTCCTGGTCTTGGGTCTATTTCCAATCTCAGGGCCTTAATATGGTCCCTCACCTTCATTCAAGGGCCCTAAGCCCTGGCCCTAAACCCTACACCCTAAACCCTAAACCCGCAGCCCTAAACTGTACCCTAAACCCTAAACCCTCAACCCTAAACCCTAAACCCTAAACCCTAAACCCTAAACCCTAAACCTTAAACCCATGACCTCGGGTGGCACAGGGTCTATAGGAGGTATATAAGGGGTCCCCTTTTTTACGGGACCATGTAACTACCCTTAGAACATCCCAGGACAGCCCCTTCGGCTTGTTGGTTCTCACAAGGCATGCATGGTTCTTGGTTCCTGGTTTCGGGTGTAGGGTTTAGGGTTCAGGGTTTAGGGTTTAGTTGCACGTCAAACCCGAAACCCGACACCATAAGCCCTAACCTTAAATCCTAAACCCTACCCTAAACCCTGAACTTTAAGAAACCCTAATGGGCCCTAAACTACAGCCCAGCAACCATCCAGGAACGGCTGAAGATCATTGTGGAAAATCCACGCGACGCGCGGCCAGATGAGAGTGTCAAGTTTACCCGAAGTTACTGGGTTTTGGAGTACCCTAAACCCTAAACCCTAAACCCTAAACCCTAAACCCTAAACCCTAAACCCTACTTTAATACCTTTTGCTGGGTTCCGAGGTCCGATTATAGCTACTTCTGCCTAAAAAGTATATACTTTTGTGTCCAGGGTCTATTCCGAAGAGGGGGTTATAGGGTTCTGAAGGGAGGGTTTAGGGTTTAGGGTTTAGGGTTTAGGGTTTAGGGTTTAGGGTTTAGGGTTTAGGGTTTAGGGTTTAGGGTTTAGGGTTTAGGGTTTAGGGTTTAGGGTTTAGGGGGTTCATGGCTCAGGGAGTAGTAGCGAGTATTAGGGAGCCTTGGGTTACATACCCCCCTTGAACCCGGCTCGCTTAAGAACCCTAAGTTTACCTAAGGCTTACAAGTCGTTCCTGGGGATGTGCTTCCTGATACTAGCAGTCTTGAATGGGGAATTCTAATAGGGGGTTACTATAATCCCTGTTTAGGACTTTTCGTATAAGTGTGAACATCCCAAGTCTCTTCCAGTTCGGGTTAGTTCAGGTTCTCTCTTTTTTCTAGAGTTTTCGCACCGGCCCAAAGAAAATTGTGTTTGAGTTTGTCACATCAACTGAACCCAGTCCCGAAACCCGAAGCCCCAAACAACTGGGTTGAGGCAGATCGGAGGTGATCATAGAGCAGCGCAGCGGACCTTAAACCCCCTGAGCTCTCAGCCCACACCGGGCAGGTTTGAGGTATCTATACAGACATACCTACCACAATTGAAAGGTGAACCTTGTTTTGGCCCAGGGTCCTGAGCAACTTGGCTCGGAGTTCGGGCGTTGGCTTGCTCAAATTCCCCATCTAGCAGCTGTTGGGTACCCAAAATAAGAGGGCCGTTTTGTAACAGGGCCTAAAAAGGGACCATATCGTAGAGAAGTGACCATATAGGAGACCTCTTACTATATCCCCCTTGGGAATAATTTTCTGTTTTTGTTTATATAAAACCCAAGAGGACATTAAACATATTGGTTTTATTAAGGTTCTAAGGGGAGTATAGCTTAACCCCTAAACCCTAAACCCTAAACCCGAAACCCAGACAGTGCTGGCAAGGAGCTGTCTTCATTCTATGAGATGGACGAGACAGACATCGGCAAAGGACCTCTCGGCCGCGAGTTGCTGTTGGTTGAGTGTTTAATTCAGGGTTTAGGGTTTAGGGTTTGGGGTGTCAGGGTTTAGGGTTTAGGGTTCAAAGGGTCTACAGGGTTTTGGTCGGACATGCAGTGCTGGGCCAAGAGTCCAAGACCCTAAACCCTGGACCCCGAACACTGGGCCCGGTACTCTGCGAAGCAGGGTACTGATATATATTGGGGTCCTTCTTATAAGGGCCCTAAACTCCCTAAACCCTAAACCCTAAACCCGCTGTTTGGGTGTCCTAGATTCGGGGTTCCGGGTGACTGTAAACCCGCCACTTGGAGGCTTCCCATGCACAGGCGCAAGTTTGGACGCGCCCAGAGGGCCCAAAGGATTCAGGGTTTTGGCTTGCCGCCGTCGCCTCCAAAGCCCTGAACACTCAACCTAGCACCTTGGAGTAGTCTTCTTAGTTCCGCCTAGAACCGGAAGTGCACCTTAACCATTAGATCCAACCTTTCGGAGCATGGAGTATTACTCTGACTCATGCAGTTCTTCTTCGGGAAGCAGTTGAACCAGAGTATTGGGGCTCACGGTTTAAGCCTCGCAGCTTCCAGTACATCGAATGGTTGCAACGTTGAGATTGGAGGAGTTTGCGTCAGACAGAACATCGATGAGACAGGTCAACCAATAAATGTGGGGCTTAAGGTTTGGGCTTGGAACCGTTCCAAACGACGTTTCACCCCACAACATCCCGTGCAGCCTTCCCGCCCTGACCCCTAGACCCTAAACCCTAAGCCCCGACAGCATGTGCCATCGTCGATCCTCGATTAACCTACTGGAAGGTTAGCCTGCGTTAGATTCCCAGGTATAGCCCAAGCACGCCCCACATCCCTACGTAAACCGCCACAAGCTCCAACCTTAAACCCTGCATCGTATATCCCAAACAAAACCGGAAAACCTAAACTCCATACCTTGTTATTTGGGTAACATGTCACATTTTTAAGGGTACTTAAGCTCAATAAGTAATGGAAATTTAACTTTTTGTATCCCTAAACCCAAAACCCTAAAACCTCCCAAACAAGCCCAAAACACCCAAACCCCTAGCACGCTGACCAGGAAGCTATGGCGTGGTTCGGAAGGCCAAGGCCCGGCGATGAGTAGACGGAAACCCCTTAAGATTGCTAGGTTTGGGGTTTAGGGTTTAGGGTTTAGGGTTTAGGGTTTACGGTTTAGGGTTTAGGGTTTAGGGTTTAGGGTTTAGGTTGCGGGTGTAGCAGTAGGAGTTAAAGTTTAGGGTTTACGGATTCAGGGTTCAGCGTTGTGGGCACAGGGCTTCTTTGGTTTTTTTCATGTTCACTTGGGCTTGAGAAGCTTTGCTGACAGCAGCAAAGTAACGAGCGAAAGTGGCCATGGCCGTGGGGTTTCGGGTTTAGGCTTTAGGGGGTTTTGGGGGTTTTGGGGGTTTAGGGGGTTTAGGAGGTTCAGGGAGTTTAGGTTTCGGAGGTTTAGGGGGTGTAGGGTTTAGGGCTTGAGGTCTTAAGCTTGCTGACGTCTCATTCTTTCTTGGATGGGGGACGAGGTCGGAGCCGAAACCCCGAACCCCCAACCCCAAAACCCAGGTAAACCCTAAACCCTTAACACTAAATTTCAGGCCTAGCGGCACGGGCCGGCCCCCGCCCCCCAAAGCACGAAACCTTGAACCTTGGCACTGTCTTCTCTTTCCCGTGTCTTTGTCCTCTCCTTCTCTCTGTCTCTCTTTCTCCTGCCTTCGCCCCCCCTCCTTCCCCCCCCCCCCGCGCGCGCGCGCGCGCACCCGCATCAGGAGCATCAGTGGGGTTGGTTTGGGGGCCTTAAAAGCATGCTATGCATGCGTTTTGCCTTCGAAAAACCTTCAGAAAACGCTGTAAACACGTGTTTTTGGGCTTGGGAAGCCTTTTGGGACCCAGGAAAGGGAGCATCATGAGCATCAGCGGCCTCCCCCAGGCCATCCAAAACCCCCTTAAACACGCCGATTGTATGTGCTTGAACGCTTGCGTGCCCAGGAAACCCCCAAAAGCAAGACCCCGAATGCCCTTAAGGGCATTCGGGGTCCTGCTGTTCGGGTGTTCTGTAGGCACGAAGCCGTTCGAGCGCGTAAAATGAGCGATTTTAGGGGCGTTTTTACGTGGACCCACAAAACACTCGGTATTTACGAGGTTTTCTGCTGTTGGAACACCCCCCCAAACCGAGCATCATGAGCATCAGCTGGGTCTCTGGGCCGTGGGCCCGGACCCCCCCACGAAGCCCAAGAGATGGGGAGGATGGGGGTGGGATGGGGGTAGGATGGGGTAGGATGGGAGTGGGGTGGGGTAGGATGGGAGCGTGGGTGGGTGTAGGATGGGGGTAGGATGGGGTAAGGTGGTAGGATGAGTGGTGTGTGTGGTAGGGGGAGTGGGTTGGGTGTGGGGGGGGGTGGGGTGGGGGTGGGTGGGGGGGGTGGGGTAGGGTGTGAGGGGGTGGGGGTGGGGTGGGGTGGGGTGCGGGGGTGGGTGGGTGGGTGGGGGGGGGGGTGGGGGGGGGGTGGGGTGGGGTGGGGGTGGGGGGGAAGTTCATGACTGTGTGAAAATGCCTATGCAGTGGGCAAGGAGGAAAGAGGGAGGTTTTCACCTCCTTTTCCCATCCAACACAACGCCGCCAGGGTCGGCGGACCCTCCCTAAACCCTAAACCCCAACCCTAAACCCTAAACCCGAAACCCTAAACCCTCAAGACAAAATAAATAGAAATTGTATGTGGTATCGTTCTGAATTTTCAAGATATTTGTCTAAACAGCTGACATACAGAGTTTAAGTAAATTAATCCAAAGCGTCTGGGAGACCAATGCTCATTTTACTTAAACCTCTCGCCACCCAAAACCCACAACCCAAAACCGCCCAAACCTCCCCCGCAACCAAACCCCCCCCGACCCCCCCAAACCCCCAAAAAACCCCCCCCAAAAAAAAACCCCCCAAAAACCCCCCAAACCCAAACAACCCCAAACCCCCCCCCAACCCCCCAAAACCCCCCCCCCAAAACCCCACCCCCCAAAACCCCCCCCAAACCCCCCCCCAAACCCCCCCACCTTCAAAACCCCCCCAAAACCAACCCCCCCCAAAACCCCAAAACCCCCCCAACCCCCCCAACCCCCCCCCCAAAAACCCCCCCCAAAAAAACCCACCCAAACCAAAACCCCAAAAACCCACCCCCCGCAACCAAACCCCCCCAAAACAACCCCCAAAAACAAAACCCCCAAACCCCCCCAAACCCCAAAACCCCCAAGCCCCCAAACCCCCCCAACCCCAAACCCCCCAAAACCCCCCAAAACCCCCCCCAAACCCCCCCAAACCCCCCCAAAACCCCCCCAAAACCCCCCAAACCCCCCCAAACCCCCAAAAACCACCCCCCAAAACCACCCAAACTCCCCCAAACCCCCCCAAAACCCCCCAAAACCCCCCCAAAACCCCCCCCAAAACCCACCCAAACACCCCAAAACCCCCCAAAAACCCCCCCAAACCCCCCAAAACCTCCCCAAACCCCCCAAACCCCCCCCCCCAAACCCCCGCACCCCACAAACCCCCCCCCCCCCCCAAACCCCCACCCCCCCAAACCCCCCCCCCCCCCCCCACCCCCCCCACCCAAAGCCCCCAAACCCCCCCCCACCCCCAAAAACCCCCCAAACCCCCCCCCCACCCGCCCCAAACCCCGAAACCCCCCACCCCCCCCAAAACCCCGCCAAAACCCCCCAACCAACCCAAACCCCCCAAAACCCCCTCCAAAAACCCCAAACCACCCAACCCACCCCCAAACACCCCCAAAACAAAACACCCCCCCAAACCCCCCCCAAACCCGCCCCCAAACCCCCCCAAAACCCCCCCAAAACCACCCCCCAAACCACCCACACCCCCCCCAAACCCCCCAAAACCCCCCAAAACCCCCCCCAAACCCCCCAAACCCCCCCAAACCCCCCAAAACCCCCCACAAACCCCCCCCAAAACCCCCCCAAAACCCCCCCAAAACCCCCCCAAAACCCCCCCCAAACCCCCCCCAACCCCCCCCAACCCCCCCAAACCCCCCCCCAAAACCTCCCAAAACAACCCCAAAAACCCCCAAAAACCCCCCCAAAAAAACCCCCAAAAACCCCCAAAACCCCAAACCCTCCCCAAAACCCCCAAACCCCCCCCAAAAAACCCCCAAAAACCCCCAAAACACCCCCCAAAACCCCCCAAAACCCCCCCCAAAAACACCCCCAAACCCTCAAAACCCCCAACACCCCCTCAAAAACACCAAAAACCCACCAAAAACCCCCCCAAAACCCCCCCAAACCCCCCCAAAACCCCCCCCAAACCCTCCCCCCCCCCCCCCCCCCCCCCCCCCCCCCCAACCCCCCTGCTGGTGAGAACCAGCAGGCTGAGAGGTGGAAATGAGTGGAGTGGCCTGTTCCCTCAAATCAACATTCCCAGCCATGGCCCTCACAAAGTGCGGAGCTACTATTTTCACAGCAAGCAGACAAAGGCAAACAAGAAGCTTGTGGTCTACTACACTATAGGCTACGGCCCCTAAAGTGTGATACTGTACAAAATGTCTTAAAGTGTTGCATGCTCAAGGCTACTGTTTGGGCCTAGAAGCAACAAGGAAAACAAACAAGCAACCTAACCTCAAGGACCTGCAAAGGAAGTGCGTTCAACACTCCTCCTTCGCGGCCTCGCCAGGGGACAGCGACCTACCATACTCCTACTTCTGTGCAGGTCCTGCCCGTCAGGGTGGAGAATGTTCTCTACCCTAAGGCGCTCAGAAAGAGATGCATGCGAGCATCTCTGCGAACTGCAAATTGCAGTGCAAAAGAGGGAAAAACTTAGCATGAATGCGCGATGCGATGCACATCCTGCCCGTCAGGGCGGAGTAGTACCTACCCTGTGCTGTGCATGGTGTGATCTGGTGCACGCCGGTGGCACCGCTGACACACCTCAAATGTGCAAAGATTGGATGACCTTGCAATTGCAGGACAGTCCTTGGTGCGATGGAGCTTATCCCCCTCAGGGGCAGCGAAGTAACGAGTTGGGGCTCCATCTTCTGGCTGCCTGCGTGCGGAAAGTTCGGCCTCGATTGCTTGGGCCGTTCGGTCACGAAGGCGTTGCAATTTCCTCTGCTTGGCAGTGCTGTGGATTCGGCAAAGAGAGTGGCGTCTCAGGCACCACTTGGCAAGCTCCCACACGGCAATAAAACCAATGCCTACAAAACCCACAAGCAACATGAACATGAGATCCGTGCTTAATTCAACCTGATGTACATCTCCCTCAAATTCATCAAAGAGCTCAGGCTGACACTTGGCACTTTGGATCTGCGTCATTGCAAGCAATAGGAAAAGCAACTTGATCTGCGGATACTGAGGGTGGGTAGGCAGGTCGACAGCCACAGCTTCCGCTTGGCGGGGGTCCTCTGGACAGTGCTCGAACAAACCCCAAATGGCTGCGAGCTCGAGGATCCTCGCTGCAGGAAGCGCTTTTGTGAGGAGGTCTGCAGCCTGCTCCACACCTGGGCAATAAACGGGGATTATCTCTCCTGCCTCATACTGCTCTCGCAAATAGTTGGCGCGCACCTTCAGGTGGCGGGTTCGCCAAGACCCTTGGCCAATGGCGATAGCAAGCGCAGACTGAGAGTCAACCTTCAAGGTCTTACCCAAGTTAAAGACCCCAAACTCACCCAGCATGGCCTCTGCTGACTGCAGTGCAACGACGGCATCAAGTCCTGCGACGAGCTCGGACTCTGCAGTGCTGAGTGTGACAAACGCCTGCCGAGCGGAACGCCAACAGACAGGAGAACCGTAGAGGAAGACAACCCAACCAGTGTGCGAGCGATTGCCATCTGGCGCAAAAGAGGCATCGCTGTATGCAACTAAGCCCGTGTCATCTGCGTCAGCAGTGAGAGCAAAGGCTTTGGTTTGCTGCACGTACGCTAGTGCCCTTTCAGCGATGCGTGCAGCCCTGTCGGGCGCCTTTGTGCTCAACGTAGCAAGGACACAAGCGGTGAACGCGAGATCCGGCCTCGTTCGCTGGCTCAGCCACAAGATTTCTCCGGTCAGCCTCTGGGCTGTACGAACTGACTCCTCGGCGGGCGCCTCATCCGTCAGGAGAGTGTCAAAGGACACCAAGTCTCTTGGGCAAGGGATCTTCCCCAGCGCAGTGGGCTTGACGTTGTTGAGGCGTAGCAGCTCCTCTGCATAGGCCTGCTGTGACAGAACAAACCCTAAACCCTGCACTAGGATCTCAACCCCTAGAAACCTTAACGGCTGGTGCGGCGTGGCAAGTGTGAGGGGCGTCGTTTTCCAGATCGACTGGATAGCCTTAGCGAGAGCCTCGATGACTTCAGCACATCCAGCAAGTAGGAAGTCATCAACGTAGGTGATTAAACCTCCCACGACTTGACCATCACTGGTTTGCACGACGCGCCACCAGTTCGTGTCTAACTTGCCCTTGAGTAGCTGCAGCTCAACCCCGTTGACCACGCATCTAAGGTTAAGAAGCTGAGAGTCCCTAAAGTCTGACCACAGCTTTGGTGACTCCCTGAGTCCATAGACGGCGTGTGTGAGGATCCAAAGCTCTCCCTCCTGCGCAAGACCTTGCCGCACAAGGTAGCGCGGTGGCGTTAGGGCAAACACAGGAAACCCGTCACCCTGGGGAATGGGCGTGAGGAGGAACGCTGAGGTTACATCTAAGATGCCCAGCATCCAACCCCTCTTAGAGCTAATGACAACCAAACAACGAAGTGACTCTGCTGCAGCACCTGACGCGTATATTTCGGTGCCAGTGGAAGGGGCATGGTTTCCACACGCAACAAGCCTCGCCTTGCGTTTGAACAAGCTTGCCTGGGTTGCGTGCTCCCCGTTCCCGGGCGCGGCGGTTTGCACGTCAGGCGGCTTAACAGTGAAAACCAGCTTTGCCGGCACAACCCTCACGTCAGTGCGGTGAAGCCAGTTCCCTTTGCGCACCTCGCTAGGCGGCAAACGGCGCACAGCTTTTTCTATGACCCCGATCTCTTTCAGACAGAATTGACGGGATCCACACTTCACCGTGCTTTTCCGCCTCTCGCGGGTCGACAGTATGAACTATCTGCAGTGGCTCAGTTAAACCACTGAGCAGCTGTTCAATGTCTGGAGTGTACACTGGCTCGGACTTGCAGAGACGCAGGTCCAGGCCGTCAGACCGGAGTGCACACAGTTGCTGGCCACTTTGGGGGTCTGGAAGCCACAGCTCCCACTGCACAGGCTGTTCTGGCCAGGACTCCTCCTCGACCTGCGCATGGGGTTTTGGCTCCAGGGTCTGCAGGCCGCAAGGTGTCTGCTCGTGCTGCACCGGAGTGTGCTTGAGGTTCCACGAGACCTCTAGCTCTACAGTTCCAGCCTCTACCTTCTGAGTCTCTTTCCAACCCCCACCCTTCTCTACTTTCTTCGGGCAGTCTTCACCTGCTAGCTCTAAGGGACCCTCCTCAAACATGTCAAACACGTCCAAGCGCCTGACATCTTGCTGCGTTGTGAGTGGCAAGCGTGCTGAAGCAGGGAGCGGAAAGCCTAAGGACTCGAGGGCTTGGAGCTCAGACTCTGGCACCTTCCCTAAGGTGTTAACAGTGTAGGCTACGAGCACGACCCTTTCACCTTCAAAAGGGGTAGTAGCATGACGGCGTTTGGGGTCCAAGTAGAAGGGCTTGCCTCTCTGCAAGCTGTGCGTTGTGCCCAACCACTTCTTTCCTGTACCGTCAACTCGTTGCTCGACAGAGCCGTGGATAACATCTCCTGCTCGCAGTTCTACCCACAAGTCTCCGCCTTCAGGAGGGAGCTTGAGTGGAAAGACTACGTTGACAGACCCTTCTACATTGTTGTGGTCTGCATGCAAGGACATGGGGTTCGTATTGGACAGCCAAAGACTTGTGAACTCGGCCTCGGGACTTGCAGACAGGAGCGTCGCGGCCATCAGCTCTGTGAGCCACGGGTGAGAGTTTGTTGCACTCGTGGTGCCTACTACACCACCGTGTCGGTAAAGGCCGGCCTTAAGAGACTGCAGACGGCTGAACTGGACCAAGACCCACATGGCCTCTTCAAGGTCCCAGTCTTCAAGCAGTAACTCCTGTGCGAAACCCTCAAGGTCCACAACACTAAACCGACTAGCCCTAAACTCCTCCTCAACGGCTTCACATTGCTCAGGCGGACACTCACCGTCAGGCAGTGGGAACAGCAAAGACTTGCTAACTGCAGGGCTTGACTTCCCACGGAGTCGAGTGCGACTTGCAGGTGCGGGCACGCACTCACCTTCCGGCGGTGGAAGAGGAGGTGGTGGCAGAGGTGGCTCGCCAAGTGCTGGCTCGGACTTCCCACGCACACGCCTTGCCGGCTCGAGCGGCGCAGGCTCCCTCACATCGCCCTCAAACACGCGGTCTGGCATCTCTGGCGAATGGAGGCGTGAGCGCACATGGAGTGTTTGGAGGAAGCCGTTGCCCACTCCATCGTTGCGTAGGACAATGTGGCCATCATTCACAGAAGGCGACAACCCCATGTACTTACCATCTACCCACCTATCCCCTAAGTCACCCCTAGAAGGTCCGTAAAACTTGAGTTTCACAGAGCACGGAGCCCCAAACGGAGCTGCAAGCTTGGACTTGAGGCCAAGTTGTTGCGCACGTTGCTGCGATGCCGCAGTGGCCATTGCACATGCCCACAGCTCTGTGCCAACTTCGGCCTGGGCGAGGAGCGTGCGCGCCCTAGCTTTTAACCAGCGGATGGTGTTCTCAGCTGCTCCGTTTTGCTGCGGCGTATCTCCTTCAGCTGTGGTGGTACGCACCCCGTGCTCGTGAAACCAAGCTCGGGTCCTTTTGTTAAAGAACTCCCGACTTCTATCCGAGTGGAAGCGCAGCACAGGAAGGTTCAATGAGCGAAGTTCTAGGAACACTTGTTGTAGCGCCTCTAGCACTGCCTCGCTCTTGTTTGTGTGCAGCGGAACAACAAACACCAACCTAGCTAGGCCTGGCGGAGCTTCAAACTCACACTTGGCCCTTTCCCAAGGGTGTTCTTCCTTGGGTTTGCTTGGTTTGGCCTTGGCCTTTGCGGCTGCTACGCGTAACGCGCCTGCTTCTTTACACGCGTCATTTTCAGACTCACTTGTAGGACAATATCCTAAACAATCCTCGGGCAGCACATCCTTCCCGTCAGGGCGGTGCTCTGGCTCCAGTGGGCCTTCCACAACAACGTCGGCTAACTTGTCCTCCCCGCCAGGGTGGAGTAAAGGATCATCGAACCCATCAACCTGCGTTGGGTTGGGTTCGTCCTTTGTCCCGAGTTTAGGAAAACGATAGGACGCTGCTAAAAAGTACCGGAACACGGGCGGGTGTTTGCTCCTACCCTCGGGGTCTTTTGCAGGGACTCTGATGGGACCAGCCACGTCGGCAGACAGGCAATACACGTCGGGATGTGTGACTCCTTGATGCCTACGGCCGGTGCCGGCGCCGCGTACGCAAACTCCACAATCCCTACGGTATGGAACGTGGTTATTTTCTACATGTCGTTGCCAGTCCTCGGGTGTCATGCGGCATAGCTGGTAGAGGGGCCAACATTGCAACGCATGAACAACAGCTTGCACAAACTGCGGCGCCCACGCGGCTAAGTCCTTTGAGTCGCCTTTCCATGCCAGTGTAGGACACTCCTTCCGGAGGCCGTGCAAGCCCCTCAGGTCAGGAAGGTTAGTGCCTATGGTGGTTGGCTTTGTGGTTGCGTGTCCTAGGGCACCTTGGTCGAAATCGACTTCGAAAAGACCTGCCTCTAATGCATATGCACGCCACAAGTTTGTGTGCCAAAACGAGGGAACCTCACCAACCAACGAATGGCCAACAGGAAGATAGCGATCAACAGGCTGAGGTTGCTCAAGTAAGAATGCCACCTGCGACGAATGGTGCACGGACTGACGATGGACACGCCTTCCGGCCGTCGCTGTTGCATGCGAGAACAACATCCGAGCAAACAGCCCCGTGTCATTGTTCACCAACGCACGCTCACTAGCACTGAGATCGCTCAACCCATACGGCTCACTAGGGGACCTCACTGGCCTTGGGCCTCCAGGTTTATGCCGGAGAACAGACATAGTGCGACAAGGAGGGCCACCAATCACTGCTGCAATGCGCCCATCCTTCGCCGCTTTAAGCAGGAGTGCCCAAAGTGAAAGACGGTTCAAATCATGCGCTGCGCACTGAGTCACATCAAGCTCCAACACAACTGTGCCATCACGCTCAAGCCGTGCAAAGGTCTTATGAGGGCGCGGGCCTGCAAACAAGTGGACAATCCAATGCCTTGACTGCTGTAGCGCCTTCCTCCTCCTCCTGTTGAGGTTGGGCAAAGCACTGCGCAACATGTCCCACAATGACTCGTCGCCCGCATCACCTGAAGGGACCAAACCTCGCAACGCACAACGGGGAACATCAGTGAAGAACGGTGCGTTTGCAACAGCGGCGTCACCTGAGCAGGAAACACCATCACGGGCGTAGTCCATCAAGTGCTCCCACCAGCTCTTCTCAAGTGCAATCCTGGCCTGACGAATCCTGTCCCTGCCTTCCTCAGTGTGGCGCTTGAGCTGCTCAATTTCCGCCAGCTTTCTCTCCTCTAAGCGCGATATCAACTCCAACGCCTTGGACTGCACAAGTTCCGGGCAACCATTGCGGACACGAAGCTTCAACTTCCGCCCGTCAGGGTGAAGGAGTTTGCAGCTGCCGGCGGACCACATAAGGGTGTAACCAAGTTGCTCCACAATTGCGCCCATGGGCACAATGGTTTGCGCGGAGCCATCCCTCCCGGGAGGCAAAAGCAGAGTGCCACTAGCAGTGAGTCTCATAGACGTGGTGTTCTCCCCCGCCAAACTCACCACCACTTGCGTAGCCTGCTCCCACTCCTCCTGGGATGACGCTGCCCTCATGGCGTGCGTGGCACCCGAGTCCACTAAGGCTAACAACTCCCCACCATCCCCAACCTCTAAGGATTGCACGTGCAGCACGGACGTTTCGGGGGAGCTCCTAGCTGGCTTTTCCTCACCCAAACCAAGGACTGCAAGGCGCTTGAGGGATGCATTTGGATGGGTTTGGGACGTACTGTTTGACGGTTGCGCTTCACTCGTGCCCGGGCTCACCTCAACCTGCCTCAAAGCCTTCACTGCCTCTTGCATAAAGGACTCTAGCGTAACAGGTTGACCATTCATGGTGATGGGCGTGGCCTGCACTGGCACCTGTGATGAAGCTGAAGCTGGAGGCGATGCATCCTGTCCTCCCACTCCTCCTGGGCCCGATGCCTGGGGGGTGGTTTTGCGCATCGTGGGCTGCTCATGCGTTTTGGCCTCAGGTTTTGAACCCTTACCTAATGGGCGGTCCTTCGCACGGTGTTCCTCAGAACCACACACCAGGCACTTTTTGAAACGCTCAGCTTTCGAGAGCTCGGTCATGGAGTGAGGGAACTTGCATTTGGGACCATTCCTACAACCCTTCGGCGAGAGAAAGAACTTACATGGCTTACCACCTGCTCCTCCAGCACCCTTCCCCAGAGGTTGGTTTCCACCACCTGATGCTTCGGCTGCGGCATTTAATGCCTGGACCTTAGGATCTACCTTCTTAGGGTCTACCCCACCGGCCATAGTTTCAAACTCAGCCAACAAATGCTTGTGGTAGTCTAAAACCTCATCTCCCGACGGGTGAAGGTCAATGTGCAGTGCGCTGCGTACCACCTGAGTGCGAAACTGCACGTCTGGATTCCTGGCAATGTGCTGCGACGTCACAGTGGTCAACCCACGGGCCAAGATGGAGGGATCAGGAGCAACCATGCCACATTCCAAACAACGGCGATGCCAACGACCCCAAGACCTCAGCAAACTCACTCCAGCAACCACGTCCTTAAACGGTGGTGGATCATGCAGGTTCCTGAGTATCAGGTCGCGCTCGTTGGTCCCACCTGGTTGGTAAATCGTATGTAGGCGAAACATGATGTGTGCTGCATTTTGCGTGGCTCTGCGTGCTACAATGTCGGCCTTCACGGACGCGTCCAACGAATCCAACAACATGGCACATGCTCTGGCATTCACACGCGACCACTTGCCCTCAACAATCTCCGTCCTGTCATCCGGGGCCACTCTCATCCGCTCCACGGGGGACGAAACGCTCCAACGGGCAAAGGCATCACGCGCTAACTGCAACACGCTTGTCCACCAAAGCTGCGATGAATCCGACACATCACTCATCAATCCACCAACCAACTCAAGCCAATCCTGAAACTCCAACGACCCACCTGACGGGTTGGGGGCAACAAGTTTGGGCAGTGTTGTGATGCCTGGTTTCACTGCTTCAGGGGCATCGTCACCTTTGACCTTGAGCTGATGAGCTTGCAAGCTTTGCAGCTGCTGCGCCCCTAAAACCAGTGCATCCACTACGGAACTTGGCACCTCACGCGTGGCGGGCTGCTCATGTGGAGCTGCAGCGGCGGCTGAAACCTGAGGACCTTGAGTGTCGGGCACCGGCCCGACCCTCCCGGGTGGCGCTTGGCCTGCGGTGCTGGCAAAACCGCCTGAAACCTGAGGAGTTGGTTTCGGGCTGGAAAGTGGGGTCTGGGCCAGAAGAGGCCCTGTGAGTACCTGGCACCTGTGCATCTTGGACAGTACCTGGCACCTGTGCAACCTGGGCAGATTGAGCCATGGGCTCACGCACATGCCCAGCCCTTCCGGGTGGGGTTGCATTGCTGGGCAACCTTTGCGAACCCTGCAAACCCGACCACAAATTGGACCAAAACCCTGATACAGATGCAGGCGCCCTCACAGCATCCAACACCTGAAAGGTGGCATCCTGCACCTGATGGGCAAGAGATGGTGCTGGCAGAGGGGCCTCAACAGGCGCATGAGCGGCATTAGGGATTAGAGGTGGGCCACTTGGGGTCTGTGCTTGCGTTGACACTACTTCCCGCATGGACCTCTCTCTCTGCTCACTCCTCTCAAGTAGCTGCCTCAACCTCTGATTCTCCACCTCCTGCGCCTGGGCTCTAGCCTCAAAACCTGCAAGCTGCCTGGCAACCTCTGCTTGAATTGCCTCTTGAGGGAGCGATGACGACTCGGTACGGCTCGAGGGGCGTTCAGGGGCTGCAGATCTAGGGTAAAGGAGTGGGGCCCTTTGCTCAAGCGCTTGCATGCGTTGCAGCAACTCGGCATTGAGTAATGGGGATTCCCTCCCGGGCCCGGGGCCAAAAGTGGTGGGTGTGCCGATTGAGTCCGGCTGCGGCGGCGAAGCACTTGACCCAACACTCCCATCTCCCAAAGCCCTCACCCTAGACACTGCTCCAGGGCTTGCACGTGTGTGGTGTGGTGGTGACTGGGCCTGCACCTCAGTCCTTGCCACACGGAAAAACTCAGAAACACGAGACATGAAAACACCAGGAATGCCTTCAACCATTTCGGAGATAGCGGGCAAACCCTGTGAACGTGGGGTCATGAACCCCTCAACTCCAGCGGTCTCACCAGTTGACCTTATGCCCCCCAAACCCCTGTCACCACCTTGGTCTGTAACCTGACGGTCGTCACCCAAGGTGTCCTGACGCAGGATGGTGTTGGCCTCTGGTCCTGGACTTCCGTCCGGAGGTTGCACTGCTTGTGGCATGCTTCGGGGCATACCGTGCAATATCCCACCCTCAGTGGTGGTCGACGCATGCTGCACGCCTTCTGCTGGGTCTATACTAGCACGCGCCCTTCCCGCAGCCATATCCACAAAACCCAAACCACCCTCAATGCCGGCGGTGGGTGCATCAGGTGTTGCGGAATGCATATGCTCTTGCAAACCATCCCTCCCGGGAGGTTGGGATGATTGCGGCATCACGGTGCCGTAGCCCTGCGTTGGGCTCATAACCTGCTGGTGAGAACCAGCAGGCTGAGAGGTGGAAATGAGTGGAGTGGCCTGTTCCCTCAAATCAACATTCCCAGCCATGGCCCTCACAAAGTGCGGAGCTACTATTTTCACAGCAAGCAGACAAAGGCAAACAAGAAGCTTGTGGTCTACTACACTATAGGCTACGGCACCTAAAGTGTGATACTGTACAAAATGTCTTAAAGTGTTGCATGCTCAAGGCTACTGTTTGGGCCTAGAAGCAACAAGGAAAACAAACAAGCAACCTAACCTCAAGGACCTGCAAAGGAAGTGCGTTCAACACCCCCCCTTAAACCCCCCTAAAACCCCCCCCCAAACCCCCCCAACCCCCCCCAAAAACCCCCCAAAACCCCAAAACCCCCCCCAAAAAACAAAACCCAAAACCCCCCCTAAAACCCCCCCCAAAGACCCCCCCCAAAACCCCAATCCCATCCAAAACCCCCCCCAAAACCCATCCCCCCCAACCGCCCCTCTCCCTGCCTCCCTGCCTCCTCCCTCCCTGCCTCCTCCCTCCTCCCCCCCCCTCCCCCCTCCCGAAAGTGAAAAACATAGTTCCAAAAAAAAAACTTTCGCCCAAAACTTTCGCCCAAAACTTTCGCTCAAAACGTTTCGGTCAAAACGTTTCGGTCAAAACGTTATTGGGACCCAAACCCTATACAATTTCTATAAACCCTAAACCCTAGACCCTAAACCTAAACCCTTAACCCTGCATTGGCGAAGGATTAGGTTGATATGGTACTCCGTTAACAGCCCCTAATAGGGACTGTAGTACCCCCTGAAATCATCCCTATTAAGGACCGTTAGTATAAGGGGGAACATCCCAAGACTTAGGGTTCAAGGGCTCAGGCTTTGTAGCGTCCGCAGGTTATATGGCTTTGGGGCTTCGCAGTGTCTTACACTCCTAGGCCCCTCCACAGATTACAGCCATAAAGCCCCCAAGTGCGCCTGTTTCCCAGAAACAAACGAGTACTACCGACTCGCAGCCCGCAAAATTTACGACAAATCCTTTTTGTAGGACTAGGAGCCCCCCAAAACCCTTGAAACCCCTAGGCCACAACCTTAAACCTTAGAACCAAACAACAAAACCCATAAACACCAAAACCCCAAGCCCACCCCCCCCCCCCAAAAAAAAAAAAACAAAAAACAAACAAACAAAACAAAAAACAAGTCTCGGGTTGAGAGCGCGAGGTCAAGTTCACCGGTGCACAGCGCGCTGTCAAGACCATTTCCAAGGAGCAGTGCCGCCGCAGCATTTTTTGTTTTTTGGTAGGGTTTAGGGTTTAGGGCTTAGGATTTAGGATTTAGGGTTTAGGGTTTTGGGGTGGGTTTAGGGTTCACGGTTCAGGGCTTAATTACTTGGGAAAGAAGGAGGGTCTAGGGGGTTTTGAGTTTAGGGCTCGATCTTCAGTGTTTTAGGAACCCGAAGCCGAAGTCCACTTGTTGGGGGTGTAGGCTAGCCCTAAACCCTAAACCCTAAACCCTAAACCCTAAACCCTAAACCCTAAACCCTAAACCCTAAACCCTAAACCCTAACCCCCTGCAGCCCCAGATGTTGCTGTTTCTGTTTTTGCCGGCGGGGGGGGGGGGGGTTCCACAAATAGGAGTGGCCAATTTCTTTGCTTCCTTGGGACATACCGCGGGTGAACTACTCTGAGGTTTGAAAGCAACGCGAAATCTGCAAGGGAAGTGTCGTCTCACCCTGAGATCCTGCATCCCAGTCTCCACTAAAACATACACTTGCTTCCAGGCTGATCCCCAAAACCCCAAACCCCAAACCCTAAACCCTAAACCCTAAACCCTAAACCCTAAACCCTAAACCTCGGGCTCTTGAGGGCTTGGGGGAAGGTTCGGGCTTCCACGGTTCCACAGAGGATGTGGAGTCCCCACCCCAAAGCTCCCTGGGCATGCCTTCCTTTGTGATCCATTATTATTTTGTTTTAGGGTTTAGGGTTAGGGTTTAGGGTTTAGGGTTTAGGGTTTAGGGTTTAGGGTTTAGGGTTTAGGGTTTAGGGTTTAGGGTTTAGGGTTTAGGGTTTAGGGTGATCTTGATTATTTTGTTTTTTTGTGTGCGTGTTTTTTGGGGGGTTTGGGGTATATGGTTGAGGGTTTCCGGCAGAGCTTGGAATTGCGATCCCGAAGCCCCTAAACTCGAAACCTGAAGGTGCAAGAATGGTTTCGGAGCCCTCAAGAACGAGTGGCTTGACTGCCGACATGTTCATCTCAGGTTCAGGGTTGAGGGTTTAGGGTTTAGGGTTTAGCATTAGGGTTTAGGGTTTAGGGTTTAGGGTTTAGCATTTAGGGTTTA